TCTTCTTCTTCTTCTTCTTCTTCTTCTTCTTCTTCTTCTTCTTCTTCTTCTTCTTCTTCTTCTTCTTCTTCTTCTTCTTCTCGGCTTCCCGCTATAGGCTTCACACGGCGTGCCTTCCTCTCGATATTTATAATGACTTCCATTTTCGCAATATCTTTAAGATGAGGCCTGCCTGCCGCCCAGGGTAGCTAGAACTGCCTGTATAACGGATATATAGCGATTTTTTATACGTGACCTTCCGAACTCTTATGGGTGAAAAATAACGGTTGTCAGGTCCTATTAATCTTCGCTACCGTATGCAGATATCGCGCGGAGGAGATCTATTAAACGCAGGACGCTAAGTAAAGTCGACGGCTTAGACTGTTGACGGGCGTCAGCGTGACATATGCCAGACAAATCAGCCTTCAGACGGGAGCACACCAAGTTCTTCACGGACGTAAGCTCCGCAAAGCTATTAAAACTTCATGCTTCTTGGAGCACTTACTTGTCGAGGTTTTCGCCATCCTTTCCCGTCGCAATTTTGGATCAAACATACAATAAATCCCATGCTTTTGCCTCGGTCTCACAAACGTCCTCCTGCATCAATAGCCGGAAGTTTTACGTCACAAATTACACACCATGCATTTTTTCAGATACATCTCTGTAGTTATCACAGTAATAATCTTCATCGTTGGTGCATCTAAATTTCCAAGGCCTCCCAACGACCAAAAGATCTACATTTCACGCCTGCCTGAGTGTTATGTGAGTGTCATTCTGAATTTACACCACTCGTGGTTGAACGACTGGCTCCTAGGGGACACCCACCTGGGCACGCTGACCATGTTAAAGTAGCAAAAATGCTTTCGCGAATATAAAGATACTCTAGGCATACATGTCTTGGACAGAACTGTCCATACTTTCCGCGATGGGGTTCACTGGATTCGAGTTCGGAGCTGGATGGCATGGTACTTGTATCCTTGCGCGTACAAAGTGTGTCCTGTACCACGACAAGGAGTGCTTGACCGTAAGTAAAAGTCATATTCACTCGTTCATATTCAAAGCTTGAGAGACTCACATTGTTTGCAGAGGCGAGAGCCTGGTTGAAAGGATTTTGCGGGAGGTAAGCTGAAATTGAAGTTCTCGGTACTAAGACAAGAAGACTCAGGAGTGGCATCAGAGGGCTGTTCGAGCATAGCTACCCTAACATATGCATATTGCAGGCAGCATGGAATTGTTTGAATCTTCAATGAGAAACTTCGCCACAGGGCTCGCTGTGTCAACAAGCACTAATTGTTCCTATTGGGCCGTATAGGGAGCCTATAATAAGTGGGTTTGTTGCTATTGAGTGCTGCATTTTCATCAACAAATCGCCCTGTACGGATATTCGGCGTGGTCTAAACCAGATAACTGGTGAATTCTCGGCATTTTTTGCCTCCTCGCCAGTATTAGGACGCTGTGAGACTCAATTGTGCAGGGCTCGTACGTACAGTGCTGACTCACCGCATCTGTGCAGGGCTATTGTGAGCGAGCTGTGTGTGGCCAACTCCGAGCCATATCCGCAGCAAGATGTGCAATCATGACCCTGCTTTCATGTGCTGGCTTGGATGGGTCGCAGGTACCCTGCATCATTGTTCAACATGGAACTTACCGAAGGTTGAATCGTGGTTTTCGAGGTTTTCGCGCAGCCTTTGGATCGTTTACACAAGATTGTCGACTTTGCCTACATCATCGCCGTGTCAGAGTGGAGCCTTTCCCAACTTGGTCATTGGGTATGTACGTTTTCTTGCTCGCGTATAAGAAGCCGGTTGCTCGTCAGCAACTCTTACCCTGATGATTCAAGCATCACCGCAGACTCTACTCTTATAATATCCAGCCAATTCAGCATCTTTTTACCTCGGCCGTCCAGGAGCTTCCAAGTTCCATAATCGGAAGATCCTCCGCTGCACCAAACTGAAGAAATGTCTTCCAAATCGATTCAAGACGCCCCGAAGAATTTCGACTTTATCGTCGTTGGAGGTACTTGCCCGAAATCCTGTGACAAGTACTTCCTGGCTAACGAGTAGCATCATAGGTGGCACTGCGGGCTGTGTAGTTGCTGGCCGCCTTGCGGAAAATCCCAATGTAAACATTCTTGTCATTGAGGCTGGAAAGGGAAACCCAGAAGACATCGATGCTATCACGACTCCAGCTCGTGCTTTTGAGCTGCGAGGCAGCAAATACGATTGTAAGTTCTTCGCTCTGACTGAAAACTGCCTAGAATGCTTCCCTTTGCCCCTTGTCCTGCTCATCTTCCCATCCTTTGATTTTGAAACCGTGCTGACAGATGAAAAGGGGCATATAAGACGACAATGATCGATCGGCCGGAACACACCCGCGTGGAAAAGCCCAACACCCGTGGTAAAGTACTTGGCGGTAGTTCAGCCCTGAATTATTACACGTGGCTTCCAGGATCGTCTGCGACATTTGACGAATGGGAAGAGTTTGGAGGCGACGATTGGACGTGGAAGAACGTGAGGGAGTATCTCTACAAGGTAAGTGTCAGGCTTTGATGTAGAGATTATAAGGCTGGTATACTAACATGCAAGATAGCCGGCAACATATCATGACGATCCAGGCATGTATCGTTCCGAGCTGAACTATATTGGCAAAGACGGCCCACTGCCAGTCTCCCACGCAGACCTCGTGCCAGAGCTCGCGCCATTCCGCAATGCCCTTGAGAGAGCATGGGTTAGCAAAGGTGAAGAGCTAACCGACGACGTTCACAACGGCACCATGCGTGGCTTGTGGCGTTGCACCAACTCCATTTACAACGGCAAGCGCTCTGGGAGCTGGTTGTATCTCACGGGCAAAGACAACATAGCTGTCCTTGGACAAACGCAATCCAGAAAATTAATCATAGAGGACGGCAAAGCCACAGGTGTGGAAGTACAAGGGCCGGATGGTGAGATCTACCAGTTCCACGCCAACTACGAGGTCATCGTGTCCCAAGGCGTCTTCGAGTCGCCAAAGTTGCTTATGCTATCTGGCATCGGTCCGGAGAAAACACTCAAAGAATTTGGTATCGCGCCCGTCGCCACGTCAGAGCACGTGGGCCAAAACCTCCTGGACCATCCCATCATGCCTCATGTTTTCCGTCTGAAAGACGGCACAGGCCTCGACAGCCATATTCTCCGCCCGGGGCTGGCTCATGATGCTGCCGTCTCCGCTTACGCACAAAGGAACAAGGGCCCATACACGAGTGGCCTTCTTGAGATAGTGGGACTTCCACGCATCGACTCGTGGCTCGAGAAGGATGCAACGTATGTCGAATATAAGAAGAAGAACGGAGGCGTGGATCCTTTCGGCCCGGGCGGTCAACCTCACTTTGAGATCGACTTTGTGCCCATGTTTTCCGATGCATTTCAGTGGCATATTCCCTGTCCGCCGGAAGGTGACTGGCTCACTGTTATAGTCGACCTGCTCCGCCCTCTCTCAAAAAAGGGCACCGTTACGCTGAACTCGAAAGACCCACTCGAGCAGCCAAAGGTCAACATTAACTTTTTTGAGAACTATCTTGACCTGGTCGCCTTGCGCCAAGGTGTGCGTTTCGTTGACGACATTCTGATGAACGGCGAGGGCATGAAGGACATGATTGGTGAGGATTACCCCTGGGCCATGCCCCGCCAATCGGACGAGGCAATGGACACCATGATCAAGGAGCGTTCGCAGACAGGCTTCCACCCATGTGGAACGATTCGCATGGGCAAGGATGTGCAGCAGGGTGCCGTCGATAGCAAGTTGAGGGTGTTTGGTGTGGACAAGCTCCGGGTGATTGATGCATCAGTCATCCCCATAATTCCAGACTGCCGTATCCAGAACGCTGTTTACATGATTGGAGAGAAGGTAAAAATCTCTATGGCAGTCATTGACTTTGAAGTTCAGCTAATGACATGTCTTTTAGGGCGCCGACTATATCAAAGCAGCTTACCCCGACTTGTACGCTTGATGCCTAATGCGTGGGTATGGTACTATGGACGTGGAAATAAATATATGGGAAATAAATTTCAAGATAATGCACGTCCGTCGAACGCAAGACATCTCGATGCTTTGAAATCTTTCCTAAGGCTCTTCTAAGCCTTTCCGATTGTGATTACCAGACCTGTGAATCGAGGTGCAGACAAGGCAAATGTTTAATATGTCCACTCCCGAGACCTTTGAGGGTGGCCTTTGTGTATCGAGGGTGAGCGGCCGCCGGCCGTCGCACGTTCACTCGGGATAAAAGAGGCTGGCTTCCTTTGCACAAGCGAGGGAACGTTCCTTGTAGATGGTGATAGTCTCGACAGGTCTAGGTCCATAGTCCATCACAATATAGCGTCCTGATGTACATGCTATCCCCTTCTGAACTGTAGGAGGTGGGAAGTGGCATAAGATAGTAACAACCAGTCACTAGGCAAGTGGAAGGTGGAAGGAAACTGATACATGAGATCTCGGAGAAAACAAAGAGACCGGGAATATAGCGAGGATTGGAAGTTCTGCTGCACGATCAAAAGAGAGGGCAAATTGATTGTAATATCAGTGGTACTGCTCTGAAGTGTGGTCCCACTATCAATGCATCGACACTGCAGAATTTTCGGCTAGTCAAGCTAATTACAAACAGTATATAATAGAAGTACCCGATGTAACATCCAAGCAACAGTGGAGCACAAACCCTTGATAGCTCAGTTGGCAGAGCGATGGACTGTAATAGATTAAAGCCATCCACAGGTCACCGGTTCAAATCCGGTTCGAGGGAGTTCTTTTTTTCCATCGATGAATACACCTTCTTTTACTCTTTCCCTGATGGGTTTTCCGGAAGTGGTTTTCTATGGACGATCTTGGTGCTTTTTGCGCCTCCGTGCTTCGACTTCTCTCGAGATACCTAAAACTGTTATCCGGTGTGGGGACTGCATAATCAAGAATAGCTATCGAAACCCTGGCGCATAGTGCGCCTAGTAGATGAAGTACTGTGCATCAGAAGTCACGCGAGGCCGAGATTCCCTAGGAATTCTTGTGTACTGTAACCCTCTTATGCAGGCATTAAATTTGGCAGAATAAGAGACGCCCCGTCACAGTGGGCAGGCTGTCTTGTGTCACTCGTGATCTGCGTTGGCGGTCCCTATTTTATGTTCGGGAGCTCGCATCGAGTCAATCCAGAGCAGCAATTATTTACTTGCGATGCTTGAAGTTTGCGAGTCTCATTCTATCCTGTCTTCGTACAGGTCGTAAATGTTCCCAGACCCCAAAGGCGGCGTGAATAGGCATCTCTCATCCTAAATGTGTCCCGACGAATTGCATCACATATTTGTACTATATAATTATTCGGCAGTCTGTATGCCGTCGTTAAGCTGCATGTTCCTCTGCTCTACTTTCAATGCCGTTGTGGTCGATATTGATACGGCGCTGCTGTAAGCACGATCGTCCCGATAATCCGGCTTTGCAGGAGCAACATCTCTTATCTCCCGGATAACATACGGTGGGCCATGAACCTTTCGGGGCCCTCTGTACGTTGTACCCATCCACGTGTCCCACCATGGAAACCAGGTTGCGAAATTGGTCTTAAAGCGGATGTGAATGTGTTAGTACACCGTGACTTGTTTCGAGATATTGTCTTTGAAAGCCCGGGGAACTCACCTTGAAACCCCAACTCTGATGATGGATCATGTGGTACGTGGCAGAGTATCCGGTCGCTTTTGCTAGAACCGAAATCGGGCTCCAGGGGATCTCATAGCCCGCATGATTCTCGACGGCTTTGAATGTGGCCATGGCGAAGAAGACAATTTGCTCGGCATCCGTCAAACCCACGATGCTGGTGCTGAGAAGACCGGCTCCGCTGTCAAAGCAAACGCTTTCTGCCCAGTGATTGTAAGAGGCGCCGTAGGAGTAGGGTACATAGAGCTCGTGGTGCGTTGAGTGTACGTTTTCTAGATGGGAAAGGAAATTTTTAATTTTGGACTGTTGGCCATCGGGGATTGGTTGGCAGATGAGGTAGCTACTTACTAAACCACCATTTGTTGGTGTGGGCGAAATAGTGTGTCCAGAATATCCAAGTGTCCCATATTGCCAAGGCTGTGAACTGCCGCAAAAGGAGATACAAAACCCTCAGAAAATAGGGGGCCGATCTGACCAACCCCGCTGTGAACAGTCGCGGTCCGTAGACTTTAGGCATGCTCGTTACCAAGGCCTGCCAGTACTGTAGGGACCCGAAACAATCCCTGCATTCTGAAGGAGGAGGGAAGAACTCGACAAACACCAGTGTGGCAAGCGCAAATGCACTTTGGTAGATCACAATGTGTTTCAAGACAGCGCTGCGAGATACCTTGTTCTTCCTAATTTCCTCCGGGCTTGGGTGCAAGTGGTAACTTTGCAAAAATCCAAAAGCGTCAACGGTCTCAAAAAACAAGCATGCAACGAAATAACTCAGGGGCGGAGAAAGAGCCGCCCACTGAGGGGTGGAAATGTCGCTGAGGCTGATCATAATGGCTTCTTGTAACTAAGGAGAACCACTGGGCATGAGGTTTCCCCAACGTGATGTATTCCAAAGCTGGACTCGAGATTCTGTTTGCATGAAGATAGTTGCGACTACGAGGACGATATCCAACTTCGTGACTGAAAGCAGGCATTAAATTGACATAACATATCGTTGAACGTAACCTTCACTGACTCCTTGCTGCCAAAGCCGGAACGGCGGGCCCCGTCGTTACAAACATGCATAGGTATTGGGTGTAAACGTGCGTCGTCTCGGGAATTCCTGAGTGGTCCCGTTTGAAGCCATGTAAGACGCGGAGACGGGACCCGTCTCACACCGCGAACGCAGTAAGATGTGCCCAGAAATTCGATGGCGAAGGTATCATGTTGTTTTCCGAGTGGCTCGGTGTTAAAAATATGTAATACGCGGAGACGGGACCCGTCTCACAGCAGTGACATGTTCCTGGAAAGTGGAAATATCACGGCGGCCCCGGGGGGCGGGGGAACGTCTGACTCTGGAATCACGCTGATTTCGGTAGAATTCGCAAAGATATCCTAGCCGGAGGCTGTATCCTGACTAGTGAGCTTACATGGAGTGCACGCCAAGAGCTCTAAGAGAGATCGATACTATCCAGCAAAGCCTTGGAGGTGAGACTTCGGTGTATTGGGCCTTCCCACCACCTCCACAAGACGTCAGTGTGACAGGTGGTAGCAGTATCAAAACAGATTGGATGCAGTGAATTCCAACCCCGTAGCCAGCCTCAACCGACTACCACCAAGATGTCTGCGTTTATTGCGCCTAGCTTGCATATCAGCAACTCCCAACGGCAAAATACCACAGATGACCGTCCCCACGAGAAACAGCGTGATGGAGGGACAAACCTAAACATTGAGGACACCACAAGCCTTGCTGTGACCGCGCAGAAAAGCACAAAGTCTTGGAGATTCCGGCTCGCATTCTTCGGCGTTCAAATAATCGCCTTCGTCTATGCTTTGGATGCAAATGCCCTGGCTGTAGCTGTGCCTGTAAGTCAGAGTTGAGTTTATAGAATGAATGTTGATTAATTGGCTGATAATATGCATGTCTTGCAGTCCGTGGCAGCACAGCTCGACGGAACGACCTTGCAATCTTTCTGGGCAAGCCTCTCATACCTGTTAGCCGTTGTTATTACCCAGCCGTTTTACGTTGCTACATCGAGCGAGTTTGGCAGGAAGCCTCTTCTCATGGGTGCCCTCGCATATTTTGCGATAGGCTCTATCGTCTTCGGTCTTTCACACAACATGGGCTCGGTGATTGCTGGCCGCGTCATTCAGGGACTGGGAGGAGGCGGACTCAATATCCTGGGTTCAATCATCGTGTCGGACATGACAACGCTGAAGGAACGACCCCTCTACCTTGGCCTGCTCGCCTTGCCAGTCGCCGCCGGTACTGTCGTCGGACCAACTATTGGAGCCACATTCAGTGATTTCGTCACTTGGAGATGGATTGGCTGGGTTAATCTCCCGTTGCTTGGTGTCGCCTTTCCCTTGCTGCTGGTCTTCCTCCGGCTCCAAGCAGTCGATGATTCGTTCTCGGCCAAAGTGAAACGTCTGGACTGGATCGGTCTTTCACTATTTACAACAGGATCTACCGCGTTTGTCGTCCCTCTCAGCTGGGCTGGTGCCATTTACCCATGGAGTTCGTGGAAAACAATTCTCCCTCTGCTCATAGGCGTCACAGTGATCGTCATATTTGCGCTCTATGAATCTATACCCTCGTCACCAGTTGTACCGTATCGTCTATTCGGATCACGCACGGCTGTTGCAACGCTACTTGGTGCCTTTTGCCACGGCTTGATGTTGTACCCTCTCTTAACGTACCTACCCATCTTTTACCAGGCCGCTAAGCTCGAGACCCGCATCGAGTCCGCATTGTCGATCTTGCCTACAAGCATTATCAGCGTTCTGTGCGCTACCGTCTCAACGATATCCATCGGGTATTTCAAATGGGGATATTGCTGGGCAATCCGGGGGTCCTGGTTGCTTGCTACTCTTGGGGCGGGGTTGCTGATATTATTGAATACCGAGACTGGTTCAAGTATGAGTCGTGGCCTTCCGGTCATATGGGGAGCAGGGATTGGGGCTTTACTCACTATTCTACAGCTTCCAATGCAAGCAAGCGTGTCTCAAATCGACGATACAGGCTTGTGTATTGGATTAATGTTGACCGTACGATTGTGGGGAGGGCTTGTTGGGCTTGCAATCGGTTCATCCATTTTTAACAATGTTTTTACGTACTCGATCGCGTCGATTGGGAATCTTCCTAACATTTTCGATGTCTTGCGAAATTCCAACACAGCTGTCGGATTCATCCCTATGTTGAGGACACTTGACCTCCCACCCGCTGTCTTCGAACCTGTTCTGCAGGCCTATGTCAACTCGATCAGAGCAATATTTTACGCAACCACTGCATTTGGAGTACTTGGAACAATCAGTTCTTTCTTTACAGAAGAGCTTAGCCTCGAACGGGATGAGCTCGGACGTCAGCGTTTGCGATAGTCCTCAGACGGGAACATGTAGCCATTCTTGTTCCACTATCACTACTCACCCTATCTATTGTATTCATGTGGTGACGAAACAATGGGTGATGTAGTATATCATGTGCGCTTTAGAATGATTGCTCGATATCGTATCCTTCTCCATGAAACGCAGCAAACATGTGAGATATCTAGGATTTGTTCCGACTCTGCCTACCTCGTACGCACGGGCTGGCACGCCTACCTAGGTAGGCATCAGCATTGGCTAGCAGTCCTTTTTCTTCTCTTATGTCTTCCACTCTCAACATACAGGATCGCTTGAAATTTCAACAAGAGACCGGATTGGGAGATATTCTACTGTGCAGACCGAAGCCCTATCGTGACCGTTCACAGCCGCTCTTTCTTCTGTCTGTTACAATTTTGGTCACCATGTTCTTACATAGTATTCTATACATTTTCAGAAAGTTACCAGTGATGTATAATTTAATTCCATGTCAAGTTTTACCGGGTATCTTCTGTTTCATATATTGCCAGGTCAATGTTGTAATTGCCTTATCGAACAAGGAGATATCTTAGGAAGGAATGAAGAAGGCAGTACGGAGTATGCATCTATGTCTGTGAACAGGTTTCAAAGAATACTCACCTGGTACTCCATGCAAAACGAACATGAAACGAATGACACAGAATTCCCAAGTTCATATGATACATGAATACATAGGTGTAGACTCTTTCATAATTTGCTGCATTGATACTATTTGTCAACTCAGTCATC